ATGGGCATTTGGGCTGTTTCCAAGATCTAGCCATTACAAATTGCACTGCTATAATATATAGCCCATATATTGCTGTGGTATGATGGTTTTTAAAATTCTTTCGGGAAAATCCCCAAAAGGGGAATAGTTGAGTCAAACAGGACCTCCAATTCAAGTTCTTTGTGGTCTTTGCTCACTGATTTCCACAGTGGTTGCACCAGTCTATATTCCCACCAACAGTGGGAAAGCATTCCTTTTTCCCTACAGCCCCACCAGCATTTGCTGTTGGTTGACTTGACAATACCCATTCTTTCCAGAGATGGAATCTCAGTGTTGCTTTATTGGCATCTCTGAAATGACCAGTGATGCTGAACACTTTTTCATATATGAATTTTCTGTTTTTATTTCATCTGAGAAGTGTGTCTTGATCTCAGATGCCCATTTTTGGACTGGGTCTTTAAATCTTGGAGATGACCTTTTTCTTTTTTTAGTCCTTTATATGTTCTCAAAGTAATCCTTTGAAGCAAACACATTTTCCCCCAACTGTGGGTTGTCTTTTCACTCTGTTGGTGGTTTCTCTTGCTGTGCAAAAGCCTTTTATTAAGACGAGATCCCAACTGTTGATTCTTTGCGATAGCTTTTGTGTGATCAGGGTTTTAAATAGTCTTTACCTATACCAATGTCTTCAAGAGTTTTACCTATTCTATCTCCCAGAAGACTTAATGTTTCTGTTTTAATATTTAGATCTTTGAGCCATTTCAAATTTAGTTTAGTGCATGGCAAAAGATGAGTCCAATTTTAATCTTTGCCATGTATATAGCCAGAGGCTATTTTTCTTCTAGTGAATGTCTTTGGCACCTTTGTCAAAAATAAGGTGGCTGAGTATGTGTGGAGTTGTTTGTGCATTTTCTAATCTATTCCACTGATCTTCAGGTTTTTCTTTTTTTTTTTTTTTTTGCCAGTATCATGCTGTTTTTATCATAGTAGCCCTACAGTATAACTCCAAGGCGGGCTGAATCATGTGTCCTTAATAATCCTTATTCTTTTTCTTTTTGAGATGGGTCTCACTGTGTGCTTAGGCTGATTCTGAACTTGTAGGCTCAAGCGACCCTCCCACCACACTGGTGAGAGCTGGCTTTTGTATGTCTCTCCCAAGTGTGGTCTTACAGGTCACTTGCCCTCCCCAGGACCCCCCCCCCCAGGATGAAATATTTGAAGGCAGAGGATGTGCGCCTAACCTCAGACCAAAGGGAGTGCTGCGGCCCAAGATGCACCCATCATTGAGGCACTAGGCAGGGTCCTTCGAGGCATTTCTACAGGTCAGATACAGCCCTGAAGCACAGCTCGTTAATTGTTAAGATGATGCAGTCTTGGTAACTAAAACCTTGTGCTTGTTCCCGTTTCCCACATATCCCTCCTAAATCAAGTCTGGGTTATGATTCAGATAAGCTGTGGCTAGCGTATTACCCAACCGCACCTCATCACCATGCTGCCAAAACCAAGTTCCCTGATGCACATGCGAAGAGGGCTCTGCTTATCTTCTCCAACCTGTCCCCAGCCTTGCCCTGCCTCCAGTGTTTCTCTCTCCTGCTCTGATATGTGACATCATGGCACATTTTAGTTTAGTTTTCATCTGTCCAGGGGCACCAGCCTGGGTGGGCAGAAGATGGTAAGTGGCCTGAAGGGTCATGTGGCTGCGTCTGCACCATGGAGCCTGTGGAAGAAAGCGTGGTCACTTCAAGACACAGAAGAAAGGGTAGCAGTGAGAAAGTGCCTCTACTGTGACCAGCTCCTGACCCTGGACCATTGCCACATCCCCTTGCCTTGCCTCTATCACAGCGTGGGGTTGACACCTCACAGCTAAGCTACTGAGCATCACAAATGACTGCATGGGGAAACCCTTACATGGCAAGCACTCCTGTTAGCAATATGTTATCTCAATTGTGTTGGCCAAGTCAGGCTAATTTTTGGCTATTCATAAAGGTTTGGACTTTAGAAATTGTTTCTTGAATGACTCAGAGGTGTTTTCTGAATTTGCTTGTATCAGCCAGGCATGTCTTCAGAATTGGGAAGATGCTTTACATTTGCCTGTCATGATTAATAAAACTGTAAAGTTTAAATTAGCATTGAATCTACTTTTTAAAAACTGTACACAGAAAAGGCAGGAAAAAAAAGAGTCAAAAATCCCAACATGAATGATAACTACGTTAACATTAGTAAGTACTTTAGATTCCTGTAATCTGTTGGTAAAGCATAATATGGGAGGGGAGTGCTTATGGGTTTATTCCAAGGAGAAGCAAAAACATTCCTAATAAAATAACTTGCTCTTATGACTTGGCCAGTTGTTGCTGAGAGAAGCAGTAACCTACTACACTTCTAGAAGTTCTGCAGAGATTTCCTGTTCTTTGGCTTTTGGTCAAGATTACCTATCTTTATTTTAAAATACGGGTACAAAGCTAACATGCTGCCGGCACCCACTGATGATGTGAGACTCATTTTGCAACTCAGCCTTCACCTCTGAACTGTTTTTTAGCGTGTTAATACTGCTAACCCATGGCATTCTGGGATGCTCAGATTTCTGTTTCTTAGAGGTAAGCCTGCTACTTCTAGCTGAATACTCTGAGCAGTTACTTCCCGGTATTTTGAGAAGTATCAGTAGGTATTCAAGAAAGATAGGAAGGTCTCTTGATCAAATGTTTGGGCAATCTTGAGTCATGCATGAGACAGATGCTAAATACAATTTCTGACTGAAGGTTTGCGAATGTACACAGTGGCCTTTCCAAATATTTAACAACAGGGCCCTTTGATTTCATGAGTCCCTAGAAGTTTCTGAGGACTGTTCTGAAATCAGGATATGCTGGGTTATGATTTAATAATTTGTAAACATTTCTCAAAAAAGTAAACATTTCTAGGTAAGGGTCTCTCTTCACTTTCTGGTGTGGAATCCCAAACTCCTTGCCCTCCCCTCCCTCCTCTTCCTCGCCTCCTTCTGCCCTAAATTCTAGCTACTGCTTCCTTTAGCCTCTGAGCCCAGTTCTCCCTTATCCTTGACACCTCTGTTCTCTTCTGCTTCCAATGTTTAAATCACTGTGCTGTGGGTTCAATTTCTCTGCATTTCTTTTTCATTCTACCTATATCGCAAGTTTGTGGCTTATTTTGTCATTTTACTTCTTTTTTTTGGTTGGCTCAGTCTGCCCTGAGTGTGGGGCTGGTGTGACATGAGGTGGCAGGGACAGAACTGCACTTTGCTGTACCTAAGTAGGCGCTTTAGACTGCTGAGCTATCTCACTGGCCTTGTCTTTTTACATCTGCTGCTTTTTTCAAATGGCTATCAGTTTTATAAATACCATGTTTTTTCAACTTTCCAGAACTCCAGCAGTCTTTTACAATGTGCTTTAATTCCTCCTGAAAACAATTTTAAAGTTCCAACTTTCCCCACCTCCCAGGTAGGTGGTGCTTCCTTGTGCTTTTTCTGAAGAATGTAGAACACAGGCTCCACACAGATTTCCTTTTCTGCTTACTCAGCTGAAAAATGGGTTGACAGAGATGCAGGGCTGGTCACTGCCAGGATACCTGGGGGTCTGGGAACACCTTTCCAGACTGAGCTGTGGCTGCGCGGCAGGCGGGCTTCTCCATGTCCATTTCCCAGGATGGAGCTGGGGCTGTTAGTGCAAGTCCTCGAGGGTGACTGGCCCCTCTCCTTCGCTGGACACTGAAGAGGGCAGTAGGGGCATAAGGGTCGCTTGATCCCCTGGACACTGACTGGGACTCTTCCTGTTGCCAGCAGCACACCAATCCCAGTGTGCTTCTTCCTGACCCAGGGCCTGTGTAGAACTTCCTGTGGGCATCTACACTAGCAACACTGAGTCTGGGATGGCAGGAAGAGGCCAGACCACTACACTGTGTTGAGTGCAGGGGACCCAAACAGATAGGGGCCTTGATGACTTATTTCTCTCTAGTCTCATCTGTTTAAGAGCTTGTAGAACTGTTTATATTCTATATATAGGTTGAACGTGGGTCTTTGTATGAGAGATTTTTATTTTTATTTTTTTATTTTTTTTGGCAGAACCAGGGATTGAACTCAGGCCCTTGCGCTTACCAGGGAAGCGCTTATTCCACTGAGCCATCTCCCTGGCCCCGTATGAGAGATTTTTAAATCTTTCTGCTCTGTCACTGGTTATTTAGTGAAAAGTAGAAAGAGGCTACTAAACTGAAAAGCTATAATTAACTTCTTGACTTTTACGGTGGGAAAATCCCATTAAATGATTTCCTTTCTGATATTAACACCCGCAGTGTTCCACAGTGCTAAAGGAGTTAGGCTCTGGATATAGGCGCTAAGGCTGAATTTGCTTCCTTATGAGGTGTTGCTTGACCTTGGAATGTTTTGTTAATGGCACCTCACAGCGAGGCCACAAAAAGCACAGAATCAAGTCCTCTCTGTTCTGACCCTGTCTGTATGTAGTACCTAAGGACTTAGATAAAAACCAAAACAAACAATTGTAAGTACTTTGGAAGCTGTCCTTGGTTTCTCTATTGACAACTCAGTGGTACTCTTAGAGCATTGTACAATGGTTTCAAAAATGGTAATCATTTCCCCCTCTTTGGTTTCATGAGTCTTGCTAATAGTTCAGGCTGGTGCGAACATACTAGGCAGCCAAGGCTGGCTTCAAGTTCACAGCGAGCCTCCTATCTCAGCCTCCTGAACACAGTAGTGGGATTACTGGTATGCACTGCCCCCGCCCCAGTGAGAAATGGTAATTATTCTTAAAAGAACTCTCTCTCTCTGTGTGTGATCTTCCTGAAGACTACTTTAAATTGTGCTCTAAATTAAGGTGATTTTGTTTTTACCTAAATTTTGAAGTTAGCCAGTTAAAAATCCACAATAAGCGGAACCAGTCAGGGGAACTTGGCAATTTTAAGGAAATACCTGTACCCTGCATGTAACAACTCCACGTGCAGTTTACTAGTTCACTGAGTACCTTTCCACATGTTCAAGACTCCCCAAATAGGCAGAAAGTAAATATAGTTCAAACAAGTTATTTATTCCAACCTCCATCAGTTTGAGGTTTGCCAAGTTAGTACGTAAGACAATCATGAAGTGAGAAACAAGTTTCCACAACGATAACACTTTCAGCAGAGGAACTATCTGCATGAGCCGGGTGCTTCCATTACTGAGAATCCATGAAGAAAGTTTCAAAGTCCAGATGCAAGTCAGAAACAAGGGCGTCCACGAAATCATCGACAGAAGGACACTTCTGCAACATCCCTGCAAGCAGAAGAAAGGTCAGCGCGTGCTCGAGGCCACCAGGGAGGCACGGTGGCTTTCGGGGGTGAGCATTTTTCTCTATAACCATACTAAGGCTGTTAGGTTGTGGGCAGGATGGGAACTCTGGAGCTGCCTCTGATACTGAGGTATTTTTACTTGCTAATCAACACTAAAGCTCAGAGATTTGAGCTCAAATAGGTTTTCAAGAATTTTTGCTACTGTACATATTACCATTCACTTGGAATGACATTAGAAAACTGAAGTTTTAGTTTTCTTTTAGTTATCTTTGACTGGAATGATACAGAATTTAGTTAATTTAGTTACTTATTGAATTTTACTATCAAGTTCTATACTCTTTAACATTATTCATTAACTTTTTCATAGAAATCTTACATTTGAATCAAGTTTTTAGCTTTCCTCCAGACTTTCCTGTCTCACAGAACACCTACCTTTGCAATTTTCTAATTGTGTAACATAGAAGTCACGTAGCAGCTCTGTTACTCAGATTTCTTAATCTACAGGATTTCCTAACCTACAGGATTTCCTAATCTGCTATGCAAATTTGCTATGAGGATAAAACAAGAAGTAGTAGTAGGCACCATATATTAAGACTTCAGTAAAGAGCTGAATTGATCTCTGCTCTTCACTCCAAGCGAGCCAAAGGTAAAGATCACAGCAATCAAGCTTGTTGCTTCAGCTCACATCCTTCCAGGGAACACTCGGGGCTGAACAGCTCCTACATAATGGCACTGAATGGGGAGGGGGTGCGACTTGTAAAGCTCCTTCTGATACCAAGACACTAGCATGCCACAAGATCTTCTGCTACCCTTTGGATCTTTTGTGCAGTTCCATGGACAGCTAGTGGGTATTTGAGGTGTATAAAGGATCAGGTCAGAAAATGAACACGAATTTGCACAAAAGCAAAGTGTGTACACCTGAATGTCCACGTGGGGAGGAAACCTAATCCCACCTCATACCATATTTAAAAGCTAATTTGAGATGGTTACACATCTCACAATAAAAGCTAAACTTAGTAAGTATTTAGAAGACGTATCACAGGCAAAGTTTTCTTAAGGGTAGTGCAATAACCGTAAAACAATTGATAAGTCAGGCAGGTCATATGCGGGGGCACATGCCTGGAATCCCAGCCTGCGGGAGGAGGCTAAAGCAGAAGAATCACCATGTGCTCTAGCCTGAACTGCACAGTGAGGTCCTACCTCAATAGAAGCCTCCTGGAAATGTGCTAAAAAAATGTGATAAAAATGAAAACAACAGGGGCCAGGGAGATGATTAGGGGCAGGGGAGATGGCTCAATGGAATAAGCGCTTCCCTGGCAAGCGCAAAGGCCTGAGTTCAATCCCCGGTTCCACAAAAAAAA